CGGGTTTGAAGCCTAACCCATCATCGCCTCAGCAACTTCCACTATTTCCCATATCCATTTGAGCCTGTCATTGTTGCGCATTTACTATACCGAGTTTTTATTTTGTATAAGTTTGAAAATAGTGCATTCACTTTGATTATTTTATCGCAAGAGGTGAAACTGCTCATCGAAGGGGGTCTGTTCTGTGCTAAGGACATTACTTGGGATTGGTGATGTATCGCCTTTGTTGATCGACCTCAAACCTTCTAAGTCCTGCGACTGGAATCTCAGATTTAAGCTAGTTACCAGTGTCGGCAGTAGTCTGGGTCTTCCTACTTTTTTCGAATGTGGGATTTCTGTCCTGTGTGCGGGGTCACTTACGATGTGTGCAAATTTCGCCACTTGAGTTACGGCCCTTACCCTCATTTCCTGTAAAGAAGTATAAGAGGCGTGTTTCCGGATGGGCGTTTTGGACGCTTCGGTGTTGCAGTACACACTTCTTCAACCTTTTGGTTAGCCAGAGTAATTCAGCTAGAAGTTCAAAGTTGCCTTTGCCTCGGAGAAGAGCAAGACGCACGCTATCTACACTCACCATGACGAAACCTGATTTGCAAATTTTCCAGTGATTTGTGAAAAGCCACGTTGAGAATAAGGTGACAGACTGCCTGAATTTGGACTTATGAGAACGGAAGATTGTCAGTCATGCGCACGGGACGGATTTAAGTACAGTGAATGACCTAACTCATGAAATGTTGGCTGAAATTCTGAAATGCGTTTTCGATTAGGAAGGATTACTTGGTCGCGGTTGTAATACTGCTTATCCTGCGGCATACTCTTATAACATTTTGGACTCGGCATGATGTCGGCTTTTAAATGCACTTCTTCTCAATTTACTGTAGAAAGCGTGCTTGGTAAAAAATGACTACTTAAGTAGCATACATTTTTCCCACTGATTTTCGGTGGTCTTGGAAATTCAAATATATTTTATAGAAACCGCAAAAAAATATGCTTTCTTATAGTCAATCAATAGAAAATCACGTCTTCTTTATATTTTATACTTAAGGAAGGAGTATAATTAGGTTTTAAAAAAGTTTTCCAATTGCCGAATGATTTGGAGCCTGGTCATTCGTTGCATTAGCGCTTAGTAATTTCACTCTACAAGGTGCATGCGTTCCGCGTAAAGAAAATCACATATTTTTCTACGCCGTTAAAGAGATATCATACAGAGTCCATAAAATTTTGCATTAGATGCGGACCATGTTGTTCATTTCATGAGAAGTAGTGGTAAACGTCCAGGTACGATGCTATGTGAATTGACATTTCGCTGTCTTAAAAAGTCTCATGATTAGAAACTTTTTTAAAGCCTAATTATACTCCTTCCTCAAGTATAAAATATAAAGAAGACGTGATTCTTTTTTGATTAACTAAAAGAAAGCATATTTTTATGTGTGGGTTCTATAAAATATCTTTGAATTTGCAAGACCATCGAAAATCAATGGGAAAAATACATGCAACTTAAGTAGTCATTTTTTACCGAGTACGCTTTCTACAGGAGATTGCAAAGAAGTGCATTTAAAAGCCGACATCCTGCCGAGTCCGAAATGTTATAAGAGTATGTCGCAAGATAGTCAGTATTACAACTGCGACCAAGTAATCCTTCCTAATCGAAAACGCATTTCAGAATGTCAACCAACATTTCATGAGATAGGTCACTCACTGTATGAATAATGTGGGAATCATTGAATTTATAAATGGCGACCGTAAAGATGACATCTTACTAACTGCACGGGAGAAGTATTTTATTAAACCCAGATGTCTGCAAAAAGTAACTAATCGAGAGAGGGGAGACTGACAGCCGATTTGTCTTTCACATCTCCAGTCAGATTGGGCAACCCACATGGCCTTTATCGGAGATATGTACTAAGGAAGGGGATCGTTCGAAACCTCGCTGCACCGCAATCCAAATGCGTCATTCTGCCATCAACAGGACTACCGCATAAAAACGTCAGGGAGTACAAGGTGTGGGCGTATTATCTGGGGGTCATCTTAGCTTGTTCAAAAGTCTGCGGTCCTGCTGAGGTAGACGTGGTTTATGACGATTTGCTTGGCAACAGGTCGCGAAAGACTTTGTGTGATACGCGGAATTTGACCTTCGCTAGCGTTGCTGACGTCAAATTTGCCCATATCGCGCTCAAGCGTAGGGTTAGCGCTAGTGCCAAGAGTGGGATTATCCTAAGAACTAGGAGTACGAAGCTCAGGTTATCGTTTGGAGTTAGGATTAAGGCCATGGTTGGGGGTTTTAGTTTAGAGTTCTGGAGTTAGGATTTTAAGGCTTGGGTTACAGTTACGTTGGAGTTTTCCTTGGATTTTTATGGGTGTAATGTTAAGATTACCCGTCACAGATTACTGTTATTGCTATAGTTCACCACATTTTTCCCAGAGGGTTACACACTATATCTTTGCCCACTGAAATTTTCGAAAACGGGTTTCTAGAGCTGCAAAATTTCGTCTGAAATCCGAATTTCCTCGGATTATCCACCGATAGATTTTACGTGTGATTCCTCCACAATTGATTGCTCATGTGCACTCACTGAGATGTCTTGCCGAGGTGCTCTTAACTGTTGAAGTGAATTCTTTACCTAAGTATTTTCAGCAGCTGGGCCCACTCGGAATACCTCTTAAGTCTTTTTGTAATGCATCTGCTGCTGTGGTTTGGAATTTTGCCCACTTAATGTGTGCTGGAAACGAATAATGCTTTTCAAACGACCCAAAGAACTACGAGGGGGTCCCAACTATCTTTTGTCCTCGTGAAACATGAATGCCGTGGAACTCTCATAAAGTTTTCTTCTACTAAACAGCTCCACTTTACTGGCGTTTTGTTAGGGTTTCGTTTCTTTGTCTGATCAAAAGGGACAAAACGAACTTCTACCAAGGTTGTTTTAATAAGTCCAGAGGCCTCAGCACACTTAAATATCACTCTGTCAGCACTCGCAAACGGTTTAGTAGCATTTTGATAACTCGAACTGTTGAGGTAAGGCGAGCTTAAGAATGGCGAATTTAATGTACAGCAAAGGCAGGTGGTTTTTTATCACCTCAATTTAGTTCACGAGGGAACTTCTCCTTACTCCATTTGCGTATGTTCTGCCCCCCTCGAGTGAAGTATTTTCAAAAATTAGAGACAGTTTACCTGTATAAGTGTGCTAAACTGTGCCATCAGAAGCCTGGCGTTTAGAGCACTTTCAAAGCTTGTTGAGTGCCATTCAACACTCTGGTCAGTAATTCCCCTGATCTATTTGTTTCATGTGTCGTTAGTTTATTATCATTTGTGTTATATGGTTGTCGGGAGTAACGCGGGGTAAGGAAAAAGGATGGAGAACTGCCTACTACATTTTTCAAAGAATGTGTTGTTCTGCAGAGTTTTTGGTCGGCCCTTCGTCGGCAGGGTGACATTAGCTGAAATGCTTACATCGGTTCATCGTTCCGCACACCCTCGTAATTCTTAAGAGGAAGGCCCAATTTAAAATAGTTCGGCGCGGAGAGTAGTCAGGTTTTAAAGAAATACTCAAACTAATGCTAGATATAATGCATGCGTCTGCCTGTAAAGCAAGAATGTTAAAGCGCTGGTGAATTTGTTGGACAACAGTTGGAATTTTCCTCTCCCGCGCATATACTTAATCTTTGCCTAACGCGGCAAGGGCGTTAACCGATCTGGTTACAGTATGGAACATTTTCGCCCCATTTGGAACTGGAGCCTCTGTCTAGTGCCCCAGTAGCCAGTAACAGAATTCGGGTTTGTGTGCCAAGTTATACAAGTCCTATGTTGGCACACGGTCAACTTACGATGGCTAACATCTCCGAAACGTCCGTTCCAATCTGCTTTGTCGTTGCCACTTACCCGATTTCAAGTCTAGAAACTAATTTACTGCAACGCGTCGTCACCAATCCTGGAAGTGTGTCCTGCCAGATTTGATTGCCAATGTTCATTTTTTCATTTATGAGCTGCCTTTATTGTTGGACGGTACTAGTTACAAGCTCTCCTTATTTTGATCATTTTGTGCGGTTGCTGGTCTGGAGGTTTAGGTAGTATTTGCGTTAAGACCAGGATGCTTCGACTTTCAGACTCAGAAATCTGCTTATGATTGATTGAGTGATTATTTTGTGAGGCTGATAGCCTCTGACCGAAATATGTCCATGAGCATTTAAAATTAACCAGGAATTCCTGTTTTAAAGGCATTCCTAAATGTGCATTCCGTAATTCTTTTCTAGAGTATAAATTAATGTATTTCATGCGGTCAAAGGAGGGGATGTTTCATGAAAAACCCCGACATATGTGCCTGTATTTCTTGCAGGAATGCTTCCAAAAACCCGTAAGATGTATACGGGCGACAGGAATTCAATGGATGTGAGGACCGCTCGTACCCATAAGTCTTTTGCCCGAGTAAATTTGACCAGAAGTTTTTGCGTGGCAGACTGTTAATTTAGACGGTCAAATTCAGCTTTTCTCAATGTTTGTGACCGCGTTTTGTGTTCTATGTCAAATTGGATCATATTAATGTTAGAGATTTTTCTATTTTTTGGCGGACTGACAGAAACTTCAGTTAATCAACGAAATCATTTCGTTCAGGATTTGCGAATTTCCAAAAATTCTTGATTTTCTTGGAGGTTTAGTTATTTTGGTACTTAACAATGCTTTCTTGGTGCTAAACCCGCCAAAGCTTTCGCAAATATGCCTACCGGCCTATGCAGCTAAGTCGAACTTACCCTGTTCGTACTTACATCCTGTCACTTCTCGTTACAGCAACGAAATATGAGCATTATTCACCAGCAAGTTCCCCTCCCTTTCGCCCTCCTACCAATGTCCCTTACTGAAGTAAACTATAATTATTCCTGGTTGTGACAAATCCGAATCCCCCTGACCCCCTCCCTCATGACCACCGTTCACTGACTGTTATCGCTCCTCTGCTCAACCGCAACTTATTTTATTTTGAAATACGCTGGGCACAGTCACCTGATTGCTTTCCTCAAACTGACTGGTCCTCGGCAGTTTCCTCTTCCTTTCGTCTGGGAGGTGCCTCCGAACAGAGGTGGTCAACAACGCCGTTAGTTGGGATAAGTAGAAGCCATGCGAGAGCCTTCTTGTACGTAGCGATTTGCGGATTTGCCGAAGTGCTTGTTAGGTAGTGTTTCTGTATTGTGCAAGAAGTGTGCAGGGCGTTAATATCAACGCACAGTAGGGCCCATACATTTCTGCCTGATGGTTAGACATAATTCTCGGCAAAAAATAAATTAAGAAAGGACGGAGCATATATCCAACTATTGTGTCCTCCACTTGGCAAATATTTTTGGCACCTAGGGAGGCGCATGTGTATAAAAATAAACATGAGTTAAAACAAATCCACACTGATTCGGTCAAATGCGAAACGTTGAAATCCGTTAGAACTTACTAAGTCGCGGTCACTCGCAAAATACCGTCTCGTCAGGGGTTCACCGCACATTTTTATGAGTATCTACATAAAAAATCGGCGAGTAAAGAGTAAGGTGCATCGTTAGGCAGTTTAAAGACCCTATGTTCGAAATATTTCTCAACAAATTTATCCGTCTTGTCAATACATTACTTTATTACTGTGAAATCCTATTTCCTCGTCCAAATATAAATTAGCCCAGCTAGTATTTCCTCCCATTACGGATGTGCATTAGTAGTTTCGTCACCCTTAGCCAGACCCGAACATTCGCTGTCCTTGCGTATCCTTAAGACCCCAGTTAATGCCGGTTGTACCGAGGTCACTAATAGCACTGGCTGAACTTTTTTAAGCGAGCAGTGTACCATGGTTCTCTGTTGCATACATTTATTGTGAAGACCGTGCAAAGGTCTTTGCGCGCCCTCCGCTGTTATGTGCGCAAATATTCAACACTTTTAGTTGCCTGTTTCTCTGTCGTTTATTTCGGATTCCCCAGCTCTATGACAATGAGAAAAAAACTTTCAAGTCAGGAAATATACTTTCTTAATTGCAATCTGAAGCTCAATTCTCTCGTCTATGCAAAGCGGATGGTAAAATAGGCGTCTTTCTGAGTATCACCAAACTCAAAGTCGTGGGAATTCCAACGCAGTCTGCTCTGTTTTTGAAAGAAAACCCGTAGTGATATTTTTGATAAGTTCTGTCAAGTGTATCTGGGCGCTCTGTCTACCTATACACAGCCTGATAATCGTTTTCTCAAATGGCATACTTTTGATTTCAGTAGCTCAATAAGGAACGTCTCAGAAGGCCAGCTTACAAAGATCTAACAAATGCGTAAATAAGCTAAAAAAGGCTAAAGGGTATTGAGAGCTGTTTGCGCGTCATTTAAATCATCAGTGTACCTCCAATGTGATTGAAGAAATCTCAGGCGATTCATGCAGTTGTGCCACTAGAATTTCGTGGGACGGATCAGCTTCATGTATTGCAACTTGACCACGAAGGGAATGAGCGGCCCTGCGGGGAATGGGTTGGGTGGAAAGGATTCTCATTAAACCTTTTGGGTAGTGACTCGACTGCGGCTAATTAGGCAGATCTCGTGGGGACCACCAACTTTGACGGTTCTGCGAACACATTGCAACTGCATGCCACAACACCCAGAAAGTCATACAATTATCGCACCGCATGCAACTTTTTTGTATTTGGAAGTCGTCATTTTTGATAGGCATGCCGTTGCTTTTCCACTGCATGTCTATAAATACTACAACACTTGTGCCCTTTTCTGGATCCGAAACGGCAGGCTAATAAAACTCTTGTCCCATCGATCGTGTCTCCATCTCCGCGAAAACTCTTTTATCCCTGCAGAGAGGCCGCGTACGAATTCGCGTACCTTGCTGTCCTCGCTTGGCTCCTGTTAAGCGGGTATGTTAGAAGAACCGAAATCCGCAAAATACCTAATTGTGATAGAGAGGGCGCTCGCCGAACGTTCTTACAGAACTCACTTGTTCCGTTGTGCCTTACGGGCTCTCTCTTGAACCCAACCAGCAGCTGCACAGCGGCGCATGATATCAGCAGAATGTTATTACCGACAAAGACAAGGGAGACTGGAATGGCCGACAAGGCAATGGGCCCGTGGCCCAGTGGTTAGAGGCGTTGGACTTCTAACTAACAGGTCGCGAGTTCGACCCCCAGGTGTTCCACACTTCGGGGTTGGGTACGACTGGCTGACAACGGCTAAGTAGTCAGAAATGGTCATTCAAGTCTCCCTTGTCTTTGTCGGTAATAACCTACCTGATTGTGCATGGTCAAATATCTAAGGATAGCTGCACGTCAAATAAAAGTACTCTGATACAATGTACTCATTTTGTAAAAAATTCCACAAAGCTCGGCCGTGCCCAATTACAGTGAGTGAGCGATCTCATGAAATGTTGGTCGAAATTCTCAAATGCGTTTTCGATTAGGGAGGACTGCTTAGGCGCGGTTGTAATACTGATTATCTTGTGGCCTAATCCTATAATATTTCGGACTTAGCAGGATGTCAGCTTTTGAATACATTGCTTTTAAATCCCCTGTAGAAACCGTGCTCGATAAAAATGACTACCTGAGCAGCATGCATTTTTCCATTGATTTTCGATGGTTTTGCAAATTCAAATATATCTTATAGAAACCATAAACAAAAATACGTTTTCTTTCAGTCAATAAATAGCTGATCACGTCTTCTTTATATTTTATACTGAAGGAAGGAGTATAATTAGGTTTTTAAAAGTTTTTGATTATGAGATTTTTTAAGACCGCGCAATGTCCATTCACATAGGATCGTACCTGGCCGTTTACCACAGTTTCTCATGAAATGTACAACGTAGTCCGCATCCATTGCAAAATTTTATGGACTCTGTATGATATCCTTTTAATGACATAGAAAAATGCGTGATTTTCTTTAGGCGGAACGCCTGCACCTTGAAGACTAAAATCATTAAACGCTAATGCAACGAATGATCAGGCTCCAAATTATTCGGCAATTAGAAAACTTTAAAAACTTAATTATACTCCTTCCTTGAGTATTAAATATAAAGAAGACGTGATCATCTATTAATTGACTGAAAGAAAACATATTTTTGTTTATGGTTTCTATAAGATATATTTGAATTTGCAAAACCATCGAAAATCAATGGAAAAATGCATGTTGCTCAAGTAGTCATTTTTACCGAGTACGGTTTCTACAGGGGATTGAAAAGCAATGTATTCAAAAGCCGACATCCTGCCAAGTCCGAAATATTATAGGATTGGGCCACAAGATAATCAGTATTACAACCGCGCCTAAGTAATCCTCCCTAATCCAAAACGCATTTCAGAATTTCGACCAACATTTCATGAGATCGCTCATTCACTGTAGTTGAAATTGACTATCAGTATCAGGCCCCCAAACTTTGGCTAGGATCCCAGCTATGAGCGAATCATACAATGGCAATCTGCCTTGTTATCACAATCGGTAGGTCTGTAGCTGCCGGCTCTCACGTTCGTCGCTTACCTATGTGGCCTTCGGTCTGCATAGAACACATAAGAAACACTGCGTAGGCGCGCGGTTCAACCACTGACGGGCGGCGCCGCGACACCGATCGATAGTTCTGCTTTCACTAGATGGCTGCAAACGGACGATGTTCGGGCGCATGCGTTGCGGCTCATACTTGCCAGGGAGAACGCTGGCCCCTAATGCTTGCTGGGCCGCCTGTGCGCTCTCGGCCCCAGTAAAGGATTGCCCACCTAACTATCTTCCCCGCCTCCTGATTTCGGAGCAGTCAAGTTGTCAACCATCCGCCTCCCCTGCTTAACCCACATAACTTGCTTCACATTGGGGATCAGAAATCCGAGGACGCGGCTTACTTAATGTCGCTGTTCCGAGCGAGAGTGGACAATGAAGCAAATAAAATGACCGAAAGTCGCGAGCTTGTTGTTATGGCTTCTGAGACCAAATATGCGGTCTTTTCTACTCTGACTAGGCAGCTTTCTGGAATGTTATCAAATTATTTCCAACACCTATGAAGTTCCACCATATGGGAGCCTATTGCAAAGCCAAGACACAACAACAGTTAAGAAATAAAGAAGGGCACAAGTATGAGCATAATGTACCCCCCAAATTGGATTGAAATGCAAAAGCGTATACGTGATCAAGTATTTCAGCAGGCTTAAGTAGAATTATTATCTAATTGTAGGGTATTTCGGTGGTATTTATGCCTGATTTCAAAATAAGCACAGACAAGGGGTATGCTGCTCGACAACAAGATTATAGAACAATACAGGAAATACAAAGACATTTGTGCAAATGGCCTTAGACTATTATAAAACGGCGAGGAGATTTCTGTCCCCTTGATGTCACAGATTCCGTCCCATTTAGTCTAAACTTTCAACGTTATATGTGCATCGTTTGTACTCCTGGAATCCTCTCTACATTTTTTCATACATTAGTTAGTTCGTTTCCTTTTTTTCATACTGAGTGAGCCAAGATCATAAGGACAGGATGGCAAGTGGGTGTGCAAGTATTCTTTACTCAAGTCAATGGTAAATTCTACCTTGCAACGACTTATCAGTATGCATTTACTTAGCTAGTCACGTAGAGATCTCTAATTTTGTGGGAAATATGGCAATTAGTTTAACGCTCGACCGTGGCCGTGTGCCACGCAGCACGCCAAGCACAAACACGGTAATCTGCGCGGGAGTCAGTTTTATAATAAAGCAGACTTGTCGTAGTATCTGCTTCTATCTCTTCTTAATCACCCAGCCTACTCCGGTAGCGGGACAAAGTTAAAACGACCTGGGGACTATCTCAAGCGCAGTGGCTGATAATGCCGAATAGCCCATCTACGCGTGCCACACACAACATGATCTCCACGACATCCACCAGGTCTTCATAGGAGGGAGGGATATGGAAGTTGAGTTGTGATTGAGACCGAGTTATTACTTCGGCTGGCAACCTTCCAAGTCACGACTCTCTGTGCATCAGGCGCGTCGATCTACGACATTGATGGATGTGTTAGTGTGTCACGGATATGGATTCCCTAGTGTCGACGGTCTAATCTTCTAGCCTGTAAACCATCTGGTGCTGGGATTGGGCACATTTGCTGGCTCGGAGGGAGGCCTACGTCGAGGCGCCTCATAACAGCCATCTCCAATATGTGGCAGCCGTTATGGGCTCGCCCAGGTTCCCCATGACCCGGTCAACGCATGTTGTGATACAGTTCGACTTTCACTTTGATTCAACGCATCTGCAGCACATTCTGATGCACTTGATTTAAAATAGTTGCCTAATCCCTAACCCTAACTCCCAACCCTGACCCCAACCGTAACAGTGCTGCGTCCATCAGGTGGGGCTACATAATCATATCTTGTCGAGATGTTATAGGGTTGACTAGAACCGGTACACCTTGAGCAGAGGGCTCTTATAAAATAAAATGGCAGCTCTTAGTCGCGTACTTAAAATGTCCGAAATAAAGGCATTACCGACTTCACAAGTAACATAGAATACTGTTACCTAAGGAGCAGTGTCAAGGCCGCTGGCTTGAGCTGTTTCTCACACTGTTTCAGCAAAAGAAGAAGTTGCGTTTGTCCGCCAAATCGAAGAATATTTCTCAGGCCTTTCTCCTCCGAACTAAATTGTGTAAAAATTATGCTAAACCTACGCAATTGTGGTAAGCAGCTTTAGCACCTCCCGTTTGCATGCATATGTCATCGTTTGAAGCAAACAGTTGAGCAGGCAGTAAATTATTTCCGGCTGGTACTCTTGATGGGCCAGTTTTAGATTGTGAATCGCCCTAAATGCCTGAATATGCTTTAGAAAGGAAGCTGTAATCTTCTTTGACTTACGTCCAGTTGTATAATCTCGGTTTGCAGAAGCTTAACTAATGCTAACCCAACATCAGCAGCCTAATTTTGGAGCAACACGGTTAAATCTTACAGTTTCCGCAGTAAAGTTGAACTTTTCCTTCGTTTTTCTCAGTACGTTTAGGCTATGTTCCATTTTAAGAGGGTGAGAAAGGCGGATCACGTGTCCTCGTCGCAACAGTGACAATAACTAAAGTGCTTGTGTTATGCAGTCCAGTCGACGATAGCACTACCTCCATGGTCGATGGGCGACAGGGTTTTCTGACCAATCACCAGTTATCATCGTGCCGATAAGTGATTGGATGTGTCAATAACGCCCTGACGTAACTGCTTCCACATTTGCTGCTAGTTTATCATGAGGCAAAAAGTGTGGGATGCATCTAAAACCGTGTGAATAGTCCAAAAGTCAAAAAGGACGTCTGGTTTAGAAAAAACCGACTGTTCGGCTGTCGTTACCGACGATGTCAACCGTGTGCTCCGCAGAAGGTGAGGACAGGGACGGTGACTTGCGAGCGAGTTATTTCATAGTGGTAGCAGACTTGCGCAGCATTTACCGCACTCTCCCCTCCCCCACCTGAGCTCGAAGTCAAAACATAGTCGAGAAGACCGGAGGCGGGAGAGAGTGCAGGTGGCTGGCAGGACGAAAAGCTGCACCTAGGTTTACCATTACACCCCCAAGTCCACAACGGACATTGACCAGGATTTTACACAATTGAAATGGGGATGGGGGAGGAGGTTGTCCGGATCCCAACTAGCATGAAATTAACCGACAACCGGACATGCCACCACACCCCAATGTTGGCATTTGTTATCGGTGCGCATTTCTGATAACGGTTACCGAAGTTCGAGTAAGTCCCCCGTAAGTTATTTTATAATGAACGTGAACTTTCGCAGCATCTACCGCACTCTCGTCTCCTTCTCCACCCGGGCCAACCGTCAGGACATAGTCGAGAAGAGCGGCGGCGGGGTGGACGCAGTTTGATAGCACAATCGATCCTGCACCTTGGCGCTCGGTTCCTCACCCCCAGGTCCCCGCAGCAAATGACTAAGATTTTAACCAAAGCAAAGGCGCTAATGTGGCCGGAGCCGCGTCTAGGCGCGCCATCTCACCTGGCTCGGGTCCCATGGAGTGGGAATGCCATAAAGGCCACATTAAGAAAGAGTCACTGCAACCTGAAACCTACGTACGATTCTTGACGGTTACCGAATTTCGAATAAGCTCCTAAATTGGTCAAGCGCAGCTACCGCGTGGCCCCTTTAAGAAGCACAAGAAACAATCAATCGTCTACTGTGCAACCACAACTAAGCTGCCCAGTTCGTACAAAAGTTCTTTGAAAATATAGCTGTCATGAGTACTCATACTACTTTTGAGTTCTCTAATTGATTCCACCTGTAGGGTATCTTCACGAAAGCTAAAATATTGTTGAACCATACAGCCTTATGTCGCCAACGACCTTAAAATCATCTTGCACCTTCTGACTATCATTTGAAGTAGCAAGGAATCACCGAAGTCGGACGCAACTGACTTTTGCCTAAGTGAGTTTGATTTTTCATGCCTGATTGATAAAAGATCGCGCGTCTGGGAAGGCAATTATTGAATGCCATGGTTCCTGGACCAGCGCCCTTTTAGCCGAATCTTCATTTACACAGAAATGGTGTTCACCGACTTCAAGGAGGCCGGCGGACAACGGCCACTAAGTCGAAAATTTGGCATCCCTCTCTCTGCAGTCTTTCGTGTTATTACTTTCCAACTACTGACTGGTCTTCAATACGTGACCACCTGCAAGGATTATGGAGCGGAGTACTAAGATAAAACGAGATGCTCGTATTCCATCCTTCAATTGCGATAAGCTGGTAGAAGCTACTCTCACCTGATACCGTTATTTTTTCCATGGCAGAAGAAAATTTTAGAATCATTTTCGAAAGTACATGCCAACGTCGCAAGGACTGGGTTAAACAGGGATAGGAGAGCAAATTATTAGTACGATTGTATCTACAGCTTTTTTCTACTCCAAAAGCGTACCCACACTGTTTTTGCTACCAAACTTGCAATATTATTAATAAGTTATGCTAAGAACAAAAGGTGGACTACCTTTCAGATTGGGCGAAATGTTAAACCCATTAATTCTTGTTTTACCTGTGCGTAGGTTTAGGGGAGTACCGCGCAAAGCGGTCGTGTTAGCCTGAGTGAACAAAACACCAGGGACAAGGGAAGAGTCCAAAAGTGTGGCAGGTTTGTATAAGATCACCGCGTAGTTGCTTGTAGGAAAGAGGAAAGAGGTTGGGTGTTGACAGTCTGTTTTCATAGGCCAGCGCCTTTGAACCTTCTCTAAGACGATGACAGTCCCTAACATTCCATGGTCTCCTTGCCCGTGTGGTCTATTCTATACGCGGACTCACGAAAGTTGAAAATATTTTGGGAAGGCATCTTTAAAGACCCCGGTGAATTCTAAGAATTTTGAAGTATAGTATTGTCCTGAATCAAACATTACCGACTTTTTTCTCCTCGAATCTGTTTGCTGCTCTGAAAATTTTTGCCTCTGGCTACAGAGAACCAGACTCCAAGTTTCGTCCGCGGCATTGCGCACGTGCTTTAAGTGCCACTTTTCTGGAAATGCGGCCTTAACGCCAGGGCGAAGACGGTTACTCTACCTGAATTGTCAAGCCCTTATGGACAACTCAGAGATTTGAAATGTGCCGAATTCTTGCATGGTTTTCAGTTGGCATCCGGTATTCTTCAGGGGATCGCAGAGTCTTAAATTTCACAAACTGCACTACCTTTCCCCCGGCTGAGTCCCAATTTTAGCGAAAAGGGCATGCTACTCATTCAAATCTCGGACAGTAACAAGTTGTCTGGATACCCGATAAAGTTTGGAGTTGTCTCACCGACGGAAAATGCAGATTTTTCCACTTACTTTATCGAGGGGCAGATGTGCAATGACTTAAGTCTCCAAAACAGTAAGCAGCGCAATAGTAAATATTCAAAAACTGCATAAGTAAAGAAGAAGAAGAAGAAGAGTCGAGCGCCGGAACACTGTGTTTTTTTTTCCTGAGCTTTCAGACTCGTACAGGAGTCCATCCTCAGAGGTAGCATTTGCGCCAGAACGTCCATCCCAACCGTTTAGGGCACTTTTCGTCCGATTGCGTTTGCTTTGAGTGACTGCCTTGATAGTAGATGTTCAGGGATTGTTGGGCGTAAATAAGTGCACCTCCCCCAGCCCCCGCGAATTTAGCGCAAAACGACCTTTAGTACAGTAATGGTGGTAATAGGGGGTTATGTAAATAAGGATAAGTAATATTTGCGCGAATAATACTGATTAAACCCTTCAACAAATGCCAAAACAGCATTTAAGTAAGCCTGGTAGCCATCTGGTGGATTCTAGATTGGTTGTCTAGGAAATCCTGCTTGGGCAGTCAGCTTACTGTGTCAGAGTTGGTGGATTCGAGACGTTGCAGTAGGTTGGGTGCGTAACTTGACACGGACGTGATTTCAATTACGGCTCCCAGTGGGACCTCGCTGCTCAGGTGATTATAGTGTTAGCTGTACTTAAGCCTTGCCCTTGTTGTTTTTGATTCAAATCCCACCGAGGCCGCTGGGCTTCCCACAAACGGGTCAGAAGAAACCCTTCATAGTTCAAGATTTAAGTATAAAAGGCGTGTGCAACCTCTCCAAGGGAGATACTCACCTCTGCTCTGCCAAGCATTTCGAGATAAGTGTTCACGTAGGCAATAATTAATGCATACGAGACACAGAGGAACCTAGTTAAAAAAACTAATCCTCGGCGTACTTTCGAGAAAGACCTACTGAATCGAGCCGCAGAAAATCCGAAGTTATTCCATGGTTATATAAGAAGGAGCACGCGAGACAGGGACCCAATCCTATCATTGAAAGCTAGTGATAAATAAGAGCTCAGTGAAGACGGAGAAAAGGCAGAGCGCCTTTAGCAATTTTTATGTCCATCTATGCGAGGGAAAGCGCATTTATTTCCACCGACTGCAACTTCATGGAATACCCAGCGATTGAAACCGTCTCTTTTGCCGAAGCTATTGTTCGCAATGAACTGCTGACGCTGAACTAGTCAAAATCACCTGTTTTGGATGATATATGGCCCAAATTTTTAAAGGTGCTTGTTGAAGAACTGTCTAAACCTCTCTTCATGCTCTTATAAGCCTCGTTCGAAGCAGGCTATTTGCCCGCCTACTGAAAATCTTTACGGATTACACCACTTTATTAGGGCAGCAGCAAACAACTACAGACCAATCAGCCCCGTGTCAATCTGCTAAAAAATTACGGGAAAAATGATTAATCGAGAGATGATGCGTTTCCTAGAGCAGCATAATCTGCTATGCGATGCCCAGCACGGATTCCGAAGAGGCAGGTTATGCGTAATAAACCTGCTCAATTGTTTGGAACGCTCGACCCTTGCCGTTGATGGCTGGAATGCAGTGCACGCAGTCTGTGTCGACTCTAAGAAAGCATTCGATAGTGTACCACATCACCGCCTCCTGTACAAACTAAGCTGAATAGGCATTAGGGGTGATCTCCTGAGGTGGATCGAATCCTTCGTGATCGGTCGTTCTCAAACTGCCCACTTCGGTGACAGGCAGTCGGTTGAAGGCGGTGTTCATCAAGACTCCGTCCTTGGCCCCACTCTTTTTCATTATATACGTCAACGAATGCGTCACTGATCTGAATTATGATGTTGCTATGCTCGCTGACGATGTTCAGTTTTGGAACGTCATCTGAACTGAATCTGACGAAGAGTATTTGCAGGTAAAGCTGAACCGGCTCGAGAAATGGTCGTAATGCAGACTATTGCCGCGCCACATTCGCGAGTTGTTGGGACCCGACCTCCGAGCCGCAGGGTTTATCACCTAAATGGCGTACCACTGCAGGCTGTAGACAATCAGAATGACTTGGATATATGAATCACGGTTTCACTTAAAGCGTCGTTCCACTGCTCCGAGGTAGCCGATTCAGTGATGTCAGTCTTGTACTTTGTCAAACGAGCCGCCTCTATCTTCGATGAAAACTGATTCGCTAAAGTCTGTTGAACATTTTTGCGGCCACAGTGAGAGTTCGCTATTTATGCGTGGAAAACCTAGGCCGCTGCAGACCTCAGCATCCTTGAGAAAGTTTAAATGCATTCGACCGGACTCATTAGTGGGCAGGGTTCGCTATCCTACGAGACACGGTTATTCACTTTCGGCCTTTCTATTCTGAGTTGCAGACAACTAAGTGGAGACCTGATACAAGCATTCGTATCAGAAGCGGTCAGGACTGCTGTCTTTTACCTGCAGTTTCTTTGAGCTAGCAACCACAACCAACCTCTGAGGTCATCTACTCAAATTACGCGTGACTGGCGCCAGGCTGGACACACGGAAGTTCTTTTTCTTCAACAGGGTGGCTGAGACTTGGAATGCTGTGCCCGCAGATATCGTCATGGTCACATCCGTCAAGCTGGATCAGTATACCACTATAAATCATGTTACCCGACCGATATTTTCTTGGTGTTCCGCTCTAACAATTTGTTATTGCTAAAATGTTACTGTCTCTATTTCAGTAACGTTTGTTTTATTAGATTATTATTCCAAGTCCATTCTACACGATTGTTGACGTCCCCCATGTCCCCCTCAGATAAATGAGATCGTACCAATTTTCTGCACCACAATTATGCCTGGTCTGACTACTGTACAGGGTATTCAGTTGTGTTAATGTTTTGAACAGTTGGAATAGTTCGTTTATCTGCCTGGTTTCGAAGAATTTCTGTAGCCATTTGATGTTTCCGTTTTTAAGTTTTTTAAATAATCCCCTTCCTTGTAACAAATTGGGAGTTCAAAGGTTTAACACGTACGTTTCCCTCAAATAAAATGAACCAAAAATGGATAGGTGCGCGTGAATGTGATGTGCACTGTCCGGTCAATCTTTCAAAACATTTCGTGAAAACAGCCACTGGAGGACATATACAGAGCACTGAAGGCTATTGTAGGCGTTTTACTCGTAAACTGCGGAAGAACAGTGTTGGCTCACATAGATGAAACGTAGTATCTAATGTGGTGCCGCATAAAACTTCACCAGAGGTAAGAGATGTGGGAAACCTCTCTGAATCAGGTAGCAGGATTGCACCCTCCCGATGGGGACTGCAGAAACAACGAAGTTCATGTGAAATTCAGCAATGCCATCAGGCAGAAACAAGTTGATATAACGGAGAGAGTACATGGATTTCCTATGTTAAGGACTGCAAAGAAAGACAAGTTAACTCCAGAGGGAAATACACATGAGGTCTGCGATGTGTGTGCGTGTTCTGTCTTTTGCTCCTAAAGCGACTCATGTGGTAGATGCGATGGATCAAAACAAGGGCCCATTGATTCAAAACCTGTAGTTTCTCTCAGAGACAATCCGAGTCGTAAGCCAACTCTTCGGGGGAAATCACCGAGATTAGGGGCAATTCTAGTCGATGTGACAAGCACGAAGGTCAGTGGATGATGAGTCAACTCACAGCGCTATTTCAAGAGATTAGGTGCGAGGACAAGTTCTTTAGGAGTTCAGGCGGGTGTAGGGGTGTCAGCGGTGGGTTCACGTGATGGTAGTGGTGGTCGCTCACTTGCTTGCGGGCGAGACTACGCCTAGCGTTCACTTGCTGGCACTCAACTCTCACCTGTGTCTCCACGTAGGTGGGCTCTTCTCAGCGGCCACACCCCGGGCAACAGTCTCGACCGGCGGGCTAAACCAGGTGAGGGTGCCCTGTGCGATGCGCCGTGTGCACAGGGCTTGCGGATTCCGCTGGATGGAAGTGTGGATGGAACCTTGCATCGGCACCGTCGTGACGCCGCACGAGACAAATTCTACGAGGACCTGCACGCCCTCTTGGCGACTGTGTCGAAGGCGGACAAGTTGATTGTCCTTGGTGACTTCAACGCCCGCGTCGGCACAGACCATACTGCCTGGAGAGGAGTGCTGGGTCCTCACGGTCTCCGCGGCTTCAACGACAACGGCCTGCTGCTGCTCCGCACCTGCGCAGAACACCGTCTTATCCTGACGAACACGTTCTTCTGGCTGCCGGAGCGAGAGAAGGCCACCTGGAGGCATCCTCGGTCACGTCAGTGGCACCTGCTGGACTATGTCCTCGTCCGGAGGCGAGATCAACGGGACGTGCTGGTGACAAGGGCGATCGCGGGTGCTGACGGGTGGACCGACCATCACCTCGTCATCTCGAAGATGCGTATTCGCCTACAGCCTCGCAGGAGACCACAAGGTAAACGACCCCCAGGTAGCTGAATGTTGCCTTGTTGTCTTTGCCCGCTCACCATCTTCATTTCAGCAATGAGCTAGCTCAACGGCTAGAAAACCTTCCTATCGCCGCCGCTGCCGAGAACGCCTCCGTGGAGAAGCGCTGGTGTCAACTGCGAGACACGGTCCAGTCGACGGCGCTTGCCGTCCTCAGTCGCTCTCCCCGCCAACACCAGGACTGGTTCGACGACAACTTCGCCGCCATCAGAAATCTGCTAGCTGAGAATAACCGCCTACACAAAGCCTACGTAGATCACCCCACTGAGGACAACAAAGCTGCCTTCTACCGCAGTCGCCGTCAACTTCAGCAACGACTGCGTGAGATGCAGGACGCCTGAACTGCTCGTAAAGCTGAGGAGATCCAAGGGTACGCGGACCACAACGAATGGAAGAACTTCTTCTCTGCGATCAAAGCTGTCTACGGTCCGCCGACGAAGGGCACTGCTCCTCTCCTCAGCGCCAACGGCAACACTCTCCTGACTGGGAAGACGCAAATCCTACAGCGATGGGCCGAGCATTTCCGAGGCGTCCTCAACTGCCCCTCCGTCATCTCCGACGCAGCCATCGAGCGTTTGCCGCAAGTGGAGACCAACGTGGACCTCGACCTCCCGCCATCTCTCCAGGAGACCATCAGGGCCGTGCAGCAGCTCTCCTGCGGGAAAGCATCCGGATCGGACGCAATCCCTGCTGAAGTCTACAAGCATGGAGGTCCCCAAATGATGGATCACCTGACTGCGCTCTTCCAAGAGATGTGGCGTCAAGGTGAAGTCCCGCAAGATTTCAAAGACGCAACTATCGTGCATATCTACAAACGCAAAGGCAATCGCCAAGTCTGCGACAATCACCGTGGCATCTCACTGCTGAACATCGCCGGGAAGATCTTCGCTCGCATCCTTCTCAACCGCCTCAATAATCATCTGGAACAGGGCCTTCTGCCGGAAAGCCACTGCGGCTTCCGTCGTCATCGCGGGACCACGGATATGATCGTCGCCGCCCGTCAACTCCAGGAGAAGTGTCAGGAGATGCGGACCCACCTGTACTCTACCTTCGTGGACCTGACGAAAGCCTTCAACACGGTGAATCGTGAAGGACTGTGGAAGATCATGCAGAAATTCGGCTGTCCGGAGCGATTCACTCAGATGGTGCGTCAGCTGCACGACGGTATGATGGCGCGAGTCACAGACAACGGAGCTGTCTCAGAGGCATTCGCAGTGACCAATGGAGTGAAGCAGGGCTGCGTACTGGCGCCTACCCTCTTCAGTCTTATGTTCTCTGCCATGATGATGGACGCCTACCGCGACGAACGCCCCGGGATCCGCATCGCCTACAGGACGGACGGTCACCTGCTGAATCAACGGCGGATGCACTTCCAATCGCGCGTATCCACAACCACCATTCACGAACTCCTCTTCGCCGACGACTGCGCCCTGAACACCACCTCGGAAGTGGAGATGCAACGGAGCATGGACCTGTTCTCCGCCGCCTGCGAGAACTTTGGGTTGGTCATTAACACGCAGAAGACGGTGGTGATGCACCAACCGCCACCCAACTCAGCCACAGCCCCAAACGCGCCGCCGCAAATCAGCGTGAATGGGACCCAACGGCAAGTGGTGGAGAACTTCCCGTACCTGGGCAGTACTCTCTCCCACAACACCAAGATTGATGACGAAGTCGCCAACAGAATCTCGAAAGCCAGTCAAGCCTTCGGTCGTCTCCAAAGCACAGTTTGGAATCGTGACGGACTTCAACTGAACACGAAGCTGAAGATGTACAAGGTCGTCATCCTGCCGACGCTACTGTACGGAGCAGAGACCTGGACGGTGTACACGAGGCAGGCACGCCGTCTGAACCACTTCCACCTCAGTTGTCTTCGTCGCATCCTGAGGCTAAAGTGGCAGGATCGAATCCCCGACACTGATGTGCTGGAACGGACGGGAATCCTCAGCATCTACGCCATACTGAGGCAAATTCAGCTGCGATGGAGCGGCCACCTGTTGCGCATGGACGACGAGCGACTACCCGAACGACTCTTCTACGGAGACGTCGCGACGGGTTCTCGCCGTTAAGGAGGCCCAATTCGCCGATAAATGGATACCCTGAAGTCCTACCTGAAGCTACTGCAAATCAACCCTACCAACTGGGAAGAGCTCGCCTGCGATCGTCCGACATGGAGGAGAACAGTAAAGACGGGCGCTGCTATCCACGAAGCCAACCGCATCACCGACACGCCAAAACAAAACGCGAAGCCCGCAAATCACAACTTCGCCCAGTACGCAACGCCGCTGCACAACCGCTTCCAACGTGTCCTCGATGTCAACGGACATTCCGGGCTCGAATCGGACTTGTTGGAAATCTTCGGATTAACTGCGCCTCTCGAACTGCACCAACCATCGTCCCCCCGCCCGCCTCTTCCTCCTCCTCTCCGCCGCCAACTAACACTGATAATTCTTCTGACCCACTTCTTCCATCCTC